ATTCTCCCTGGTATCTTTTATAAGAGCACTTCCCCCAGTTATGGGTGCTCCCCCTCCTAAAAGCTCCACTTCCTAAAACTATTAACTTGGAGGTTTAAATTTCAACATATGAATTGACAAGACATTCATACCATAGCACTTTGATTCACTCAGTTGCTTTTCCTGTAATATTTTAACCAAAACAACAATATTAATATTAGCTTTTCATATTCCATATAAGTAAATGTACTATTCAATGCTAAACTGAAAAAGGAAAGTGATGTCTACTCTTTATCTTGCTGGGTTCTGCTGTCATCTCAGGAACTCCAGCCCTCATTCTTTGACCAGATTCATACCTGGATATTTCTATTCCTTGTTAAGTTACTGAAAATCTCACATCAGTCTTTTAGATTCCACGGCTTATTAAGTATCAGCTGCATGGGGGAGTCTGATCCTTAGATGAGGAATGTGGTTATTTACCCTAATTGGATTGTGGTAATTGAAGTGACCAGCTGGCCTCAGCTATTCATCTGTCTTTGACATTCACCATGATGATCCAAGGTTTTTTGTGCAAAATACTAAAGATTATATGTTAACTCATCTCTAGCATTTACAAATTATATAATTAGTCCTAGAAAATGCCAAGACTAGATTTCATATTATGAGAGACTAAGCAGGATTTTCCCCTCCATTTTGAACTGCCTTTAACTAGACAGATTTTTAGGTTTTGTAAGCCCAGGTCAGCATAGCAGTGAACTCCTTCTCCTGCTTTCCAGTCTGAGGCCATCATCCTTCTTAAGCTAAGGTAAGAGGAGAGAAGTAGTCAATAGTAGAAACTTCCTGAGTGGCTATGTCCTAGGTTGGAATTTGTCATCATTTACTCTCAGTGTGACTTAAACTCTGTGCCTCGGTTTCCCCCAGATGCAAAATAAGGCAATTAATGTAGCTGTGAGAATGAATTTAAATGATACAATTATATTTACAAATGTTCTGAGCACACTGTAACAGCCTTAACAACATTATTAGTATAGCTAAAGATTATATGAAGGGCCAGGAATATATATCATCTAGTTCTTCAAACGGGTAAATAAAACACGTTAGAAATACAGAGAGATACCACATGGTCAATGTGATTCATTACCTACCATGACTCCTTTTTAGGGTTGGTATCAGTGGAGGAAAGAACAAATTAGGTATATGAAAAACTTACTTCATGCATTCAGTCTTCAAATGGACTTATTCATACATAGCTAGGATTCAATTGTAACAAGTTCTCCTTTGTCTGAAGTTAGAACCATCCCTGAAATCATTTAGGATCCAGTCGAAGTGGATCTAACTAGATATCTGACTGTTACTAATTACATTTGCATGTAGATTAAAAAAATATTATTATGAGTTCTTAGTTGACCTCACTTTTGTAGTTATGAAAGGTTGATACTTTAAATTGTTTCTTCCCTCCATGTCATATTTTGCTCCCCATAATTTCTTTGTGGTCTACAAAATTTTAACTGAATCCACTGATCTTGACCCATTTTCTCCTAAGAAACAGCCTTTCACTAAAATAAAAATAATCTATTTTCTTAAAAGTTAGTATGATCAAGTAAAAGTTATTCTGTCTTACGCAAAATAAAGTGTATATGAAATTGCATATGTCCCACTGAGTGAATTTTAAGCTAAAAGATTAAAGCCTACTTTTATAAATAAATATCTATCATTTATTTTAATTTTATGATTTTTATATTTTGGAGCCAATTTTTTTTAAAAATTTGAGCCTGTGGGTCTCTAAAGTATTGTAGACTTTAGCTCTTTAGTTTCTGATGCTGAATTGATAGAACAATTCTCAAGCTTCACCTGCACAGCTTGAGTTTGTCCACTCGCTATATTGGGACAACTCAGACAAGCAGAAGACCTGTGTTTTAGTAGTCTTGGATTGGCCATGAACAAATCATATGATTTAGGAAAAGTCTTGGTATATACCTGGACTTTGATTTTCATAGCTATAAAAGGAGGATGATTATTTATTCTTTCATTTAACAAACATTTACTGAGGACTTTATCTCTGTTTTGTCTGTGCTGACACGGGATTCACAGCTGAATAAAAGTAGGTACTATTGTACCCTTGCAAGAGTCTGTAGTGTAAACAATGGATGATCTTAAAGTTCCCTCTATTTGTAATATTCTGTGGCTATAAATTTTACTGTCTCTTTAAAGTCCTGCTTCTGAAAGGTTTTAGTGACAATTAGGATATTTACTATCTGTTTTACTGCTTTGTGAGCATACAAGAATGCCTGCCACATGGCAGGTATAACTTACTGACCATGAACTTGTTTGGTACACTTTTCTTCCAGAGTTAATAATTGTCAACTTGGAAGACCACAGTTATAAAAATTCTTTGCATATAAGAGTGCATAGCATCCCTCAAATCTCTACATTGTAAAAATGGCTTGTAGTGAATTATGAACCTTACAAAATAAACAAGATTTTAAAACTAGTTAAAAATGAGTCAAAAAAAAAGTCTGTGCAAGATAAAATTACCCTTCAGGGCTATTTACTTTTAGTTACCAGACTATCCTGGATTGATTCTACAAACCAATATATTTTAATACAATGACATTTTGTACCATGTTTTTAGATAGATGTTCTAAAGAAAAAATTCCAAAAATGTATTTAAAGTGGTAGTAGATAACTGAAAGTGTTAAGTAAGGACTGAAATGTATAATAGATTTTAGAAAAGGGGAAACAATGTTCAGAAGAGAAGAGGAGCAAAGGAAGGGGTCAGGAAAGAAAAAAGAGTCAAGAAAAAAATAGAAGGAAAAATTGGAACAAAGTTTTGTAAATATGTTACCATTATGTACCATGTGTACCAATAAAATTTTAAAAATGCAACCAAAAGTCATTGCCAATTAAGATGGATTTGAAAATTTAATAAATAGCATATTTTTTACTAAAATCATAGTAATCTTAATCTTGGCTTTAGGTTGTAACAAAGTAATTTGCTCCCTTATAGATTCTCATCGATTGACACACATAATTGTGTTATTTTGTCATTAGCCTTACGATTTTGAATTGGCTTTTCATGTCTCTGAAATTGATGCCCAACTCTCTCTGTTTAATCTCTCAGACCTAGTCAGTAAAGTCCTTCAGATTTAACATCTTAAAAAAATAAAGTAGTAGTAGATATAAATATTAAGTTGTCTTAATATAAATAAATGACTGTTTGAAGGTTACATGCATTTTTTATGAGCTCATCTAATGGTCTGCTTAAGAGGCCTCATTTTTCTAATCGCAACATCTCCCACCACTAAATGCATTTTATTTAACATTCCTTAGTTTAATCTCTTTAAAGCATAGTTATATTATGCTTCTATGTTTTGAGTTTTTTAAGTCCATCCATTACCTTTAAATATAAATTTATTAGCCTATAAAGATTTTACTGAGTCCAGTTTATCTTTAAGAAACATTAAATGGTAGACAGTTCGATGAGAAAAAGCAGTAGCAAGAGCTTCATTTTTAAAGGACACAGATTATTTTAGGTATCAGAAAGTGTTCAGAAAAGAGTCTGGCACTGCTACCATCAGAAAGACCTGCTCATAAAACTGAGCCACAGCTGGAACCCATGAAGTTTGTTTTTAGAGGCTTCTAAAAATTTCCTCATTGATAAAAGTGGTTCCCTGCATCTAAAATCTGTGAACATACCATATAATTTAAGCTGAACATCTGTTTTCCTTATGGGAGTCTAGATTTGTTGCATGTTAGAGGGTGCCTACATGACCAACCTCCAATGTAAATTGTGGACTTGGGAGCTTAAATGAGTACATCTAAAAAATGATATTTCACATATATTGTCACAATTTAATGATTAAAAAATTGAGTGCATTCTTATAACTTCATAGGGAGAAGATTCTTGGTGGCTTGTGTCTAATTTCCCCCAGTCTGTCCCATGAAACTTTGCTTTTTGCTTTGTGTCTGTTCACTGTAACAAATTATAGTGAGGGATAGGACTGTTTGGTGCATCCTGAGTCTTGCTAGCAAATCATTGAGCCTAGTAGTAGTAGTCTTGGCAGGGAGGGTGGTAATTGAGTTGTTATTTGTTGATAACACAGGTGATTTCAGGGCAATTGCATTTTCTCTAGCCAGGTTGGTGCATTGATACACTATCCTGGTAGCATATATCAATTAACTAAGTTCTGTGGGAAAACTTTCAAGGAGAAAAATTCAGCCTTCAAAAAGATGGAAAGTTCTATTTATTAAGCAAGCCAGTACTTCCCCTATCAACATTCAGTTGGAGTGTGCTTCATTGCAAGAAAATGAAAACTATAGAAATGCTCTAATGAGGTTAGTGATTTATCTCACAACTCAGAGGTATGAAAGAAAAGGTGTCTGGTACAGTCACTCAATAATGATTTTTTCTTGCTTTTTTATCATATTTAGTGTGTAGATTTCATCTTCATTGTTATAACATAACTGCTACATAATCAGGTATTGTTTGATACCCTACTCATTAGGATAGGGCAATGCAAAAATCAAAACCAACTGTGCTGTTTTCTGAAAATGCTAATTGGTCCAATCTGTTACATGGTCATCCTTACCTCCAACAGGAGGTAGAAATTAAAGTATGTCATTATGCAGTTATACTACTAAAAATTGGAATGAATGCTCAGTAAGTCACATAAATTACCGGTCACCATTTTTCAGATACCAATTGAACAGAATATCCCATATGTTGGTACCTTAATAGTAACGTTAAGGACAAAGACCACAGAAATTTCTGCTGAGTACACACATTCCCTGGTTATCACATCTGTTTCTGTAGGCTTCTCCATATGTGCTACTGAAAAGTTTCCTAGAGGTCACCTCCTGAACTTGGACACTGTATTACTAGGGTAGTTATAAACTCTTTGTCTTAAAGCTCTTACATAATGGTACGAAAAGGAGAAAGATGATGTAGCATGCTCAGATGAGACAAACTACTAACTCTTCTTTTTTTCCTCTACCTTATCTTGTTTTGTTTTCTTCCTCAGAAGCTGTAGATGAAACCAAACCTAAGGAAAGTGCCCGGCAGGATGAGGGTAAAGAAGAAGAACGTGAGGCTGACCAAGAACATGCCTGAACTTTAAGAAATGGCTTTCCACGTCCCTCCCCTCCCCTCTCCTGAACCCTGTCTCTCCCACCCCCTCTCAGTTCCACTCTGAAGTTTCCCCTCCTGTCCTGCTCACATCTGTGAGTCTGTCCTCTCCAACCCACTGGCCCTCTTTCTCTCTGTGTGGCAAACATTTAAAACAAAACAAAACAAAAAAAAGCAGGAAAGATCCCAAGTCAAACAGTGTGGCTTAAACATTTTTGTTTCTTGGTGTTGTTATGGCAAGTTTTTGGTAATGATGATCCAATCATTTTGGGAAATTCTTGCACTGTATCCCAGTTTTTTGATCTGGTGCGTGTGGCCCTGTGGGAATCCAACTTTCCTCTCTATCTCTCTGTTCCAAGTGTGTGTGCAATGTTCCGTTCATCTGAGGAGTCCAAAATATCGAGTGAATTCAAAACCATTTTTGTTTTTCTTCTTTTCAATGTGATGGAATGAACAAAAAGGAAAAAAATCAAAAACCCGGTTTGTTTTAAAAATAAATAAATAAATAAGTAAATAAATAATAAAGCAAATGTGCCAATTAGCGTAACTTGCGGCTCTATGGCTCCTTTTTCAATCTGAATATTAATAAATCATGAGAGTAATCAGACTGCACTGGCTCTGTGTTTCTGTTTCATCTTCCTGTTACTTGGTTGGATACAACTGGGATCTTAAATTTGTTTCATCTTTTTGCTGGCCTTGCAGCTGGCTGCCAGCATCTGTGATGAAACTAAAGGCTCTGGTCAAAACTGATAGTTCTGGTTCTTGGAGCCAGTCACATTGCATTAGGGTCTATCCTACAGACCTCACTTTAACTTGAATACCTCTCTCAGGACTGTCTCCAGATAAGGTCGTTCTGAGTTTCTAGGAGTTAAGGCTTTGATATATGAATTTAAGAGAGAGGTTCATGAAGTTTAGCCCTTAGTAGTCACTAAGACCTGTTTTTACTGAGAGATATTGAGAATATTTTCACGATTCAGGAGAAGAAGTATTTATTCAATGAAAAGTCCTAGATGTTACTAGATTAAATATTACAGAAGTGTATATAATTCTGAGAAATTCCCAGGCTTTTGTTTAGGCTATTTATTTTAACCAAAATGTTGATCTAGTCTATTTTGTTGTTTTCTGGTTATGACCTTCTATTATGACATCTATCCCCACAAAGGGCAAGGATCACATATTTAATTAGTTATAATCATTATACCAGCTGATGGTGACAGAATAAAAAGAATCTAATACCATCATTAGTCCTTTTCAAATTGTCTTCCAGTGTAAGTTTTCTAAGTGCCTTCTATTAAAAGGTAAATAGCTCTTGAGAGAGAAAAGGAGCAGTGTTCCTAGATCCTGAAGTATCCATTCTGTTTATTCTCTCTAAATTTCCTGGTCCAAATTCATAGGAAACCATTGTATCCCTGGCCCTAGGTCTTCTCCCATAGAAAAGTAAGGGAGAATCCCTTCAGTTTCCTGTATTCATCCACATTTCTAAACTGGGAAGAGGATCTAAGGATTTCTGTTTGGAAAATTTTCTGAGTAAAAAGTGATATTCCCCAAGTTAATCAGTTTCATGGCAATAAATCATTTCAGAAAGTTCAAACCATAACTTTGTAACTTAATCTCTGTGTTTAGTTAGTGCCCACTCAGTATTTCAAAGAAAGTTGATGTCATGTGAAGAAAGAGTCTCCCATAAAACAAATCTTTCCCTAGTCATTGACACTAAATGAATTTTTGTTTGAGGGAGGGCACTATACACAAAATAGAAAGCATTAGTACCACCTACTAAGACAATGTGTGAGCTTGACTTTGAGCTAGTAGTCCTTCCACGGCAGACTTTGGAACAAGTACGTGTCTGGAGCTCATGATCTGGTAAGGGTTTCATCAAGCATGGGGTAAGGTGTTAGATAAGGACATCTACGGATTAGAGCCAACTCACACGGCATAACTCGCAAGGAACTGGTTGCATGAGGCATTTTCCTTTACCTCAACATTTTTTTGTAGTATAAATGCTTACTTTCTCCAAGATCTGTAACTTCAGCATTTCCATGACTTACAATTCAACTTCTTCAAAGAAAACTGCTAAATTTCCTCTACTGAATTCATATTCTTACTAAAAAAAAATTAACTATTTTTGCTTTTGATACAGGGCCTTGCTATGTAATTCTGGCTAGCCTTGAATTTACTATATGGCCCAGTCTTGAACTCCTGGTGATCCTCCACCACCATGCCTGGCCTGTAATAGGCATCTATTTTCATTTGATGTATACAGTCCTACTTTTTGAGTTTTAAAGGTGGGGAAGACCCTTGAGCAGGGCTTACAGTGGTCCTAAAAGGCATAGCGTAGATGACTGCAGCCCTTTGGTATAACACAACATGACTCAAACCATACAAAACATACATAAAGTCAGGGGAAAATCAAAAGGCTTGAACCATTGAAGTCCCAGAAACATAGGCTCCAAGTTCTATTCAGAACGCAGCACAGTTTGTTGACCTTAAAAGCATTTACATCTGAATTACTTTGAAAAATTGAAACTGGATTGAGGACAAGTACAAAAGGGCCTCAATATAGGTGAGTGATACTTTCAAAGGAAAATAAGATCATATTCTGGGCATGAGATCCAGTACATCCCGTTGGCAGCAAAACCGTGGCCTTATCTGCAGGAAATAGTCTTTTAAATAAACTGTATTATTTGAGTCTAAAATACTGAGGCATGATGTAATAAAATCTGAGTTTCTTTGAAGATAAAGGGATTTCTGAAATAGAAGTCTTTATTGCTGTCACCCTATCCAGACTATGCTGGTCTTCCAATCATTTTTGCCATCTATTCTTTGGTTTAGGGCAGAAATTTAGAAAGCAGCCCATTTCTTCTTTCTTTAGATAACATTTAATTCATGAGCACATCTGCGGCTCTCTGTTCCAAAAGAATGAATAAAATGTGTGCCTCCTGCTTTAGCCATCCTGTATTTCCCTTGATCAGTTTAAAATGATTCAAGTTTTTTTTTTTTAATCACAGCAGTTCCTGTGTTCAATTTCTAAAGGAAATGAGGGAGAGATTACTAAACTCAATAATCTGGTTTATTGAGAGATATTAAAACTGCCGTATGTAGGGCTGAGGATGTAGCTGGATGGTAGAGTGCTTGCCGAGCAGCACAAGGGCCTGAGTTCAATTTCTACTACCACACACAGACAAAAACCAAACCAAACCAAACAGACAAGTATTTTGAAGATTGGCCAGTTCCATGAGAGCCAGTACTACAATAAACTTGCAAGCCTGAACTGTGGAAAATTCAACTTCACGAGCAATTTCTATACATCATTATTAAGATCAACACAGATTTCTAAATTTTTCCACACATTATCTGTTGTTATGGAAACAACTTCTGTTTATCTGGCTGCAAAAATAACTTGGTGACCCTTCTAGCCAAATGTCAGCTAATAAGCATAGCATTAGAAATACTGGCTTTTTTATTTCATACATCATTTTGTCTCAACTTTCCCCAAGAGTTAAAACCTGTCATGTACACAAGGCCTACATTCATGTCATCACCACTTTCTATCAAAATACTTACCTCTATATAATTACCATTGTGACTTTCCTGGGGAATGAGACACAGTTATCAAGAATGTGGACAAGATTACAGCAATAAGGATGATGAGCCATTAAATGCTTTTAGACAGTACTATTAAAATGACATTTTGAATGTATGTTTTTTAGTGAATGGTTCCCTGTTTTGTTTTCTCACAGGTATGTGTCACTGTTGGTGACTGCAGCATGTTTAGTGCTACAGAGACATCTTCCAAAGGACAATTTTAATGAAGTGAGATGCTTCTACATAGCAGAAGAGTATTGTGGGTTAATCTCACATCACCAAGTTGTGGAAGCACATGTGATTATCAAAAGAATTTCAAAATAATTTTGATGTTTAATGAAATAATGCTATTTTGTTGAAGAAAGGTAGAAAATATAACTAGGGCAAACATAAGATACAAACAATCATGGTTTACCACTGAAAATTAATACTTAGAGATATATCCCTATAATCTGCCTAGTTATGTCTTCACACATTGTCAAATGTCATCCACTTATCTGCTTACTTATATTCATATGTGCATGTAAACATCTGTTTAAATATGTAGATATTTAAAACAAAAGTAGGTTCCTGCTGTGCATATTATTTTGTAAAGTAGACATTCAATAGCATTGCAGGAAGTTTTTCATCTCAATGGATGTGTATACACATCACTGTATTTTATGTTTTATGTTTTCATAAGCAGTTTACTTACCTAGAACCATAAAAAAAGAAAAACTGGGTCAGAGGACATGAGTACTTTAAACTTTTGATGTAACTGCCATAGTAGAGACAGACAACTTTAAAATTCCTGGTTGCCATTGCTGTTTCCCAGTTCCGTGCTAAACCCTACAGAAGCATGAGATAAAGGGAAAAATGAACAACCTAATATACTTTTATTATAGTATTGTCTGACATTTTGAACCAACTAGGAAGGTTATAAAAAGCTCTGCAATCAAAACCAAAACTATATATAAAGACTTCTGTTGCCTAACATGATGACAGCCCCATAAATCTGTCTGCTGGCGGATATGGACTGTATTTGCAGCCAGGCCCAGGAAAAGCTGATTGTAAAGAACTGATCTCATTGCACAATAACACGGAGTTATAAAATAGGCATCCATTTTTATTTAAAAATGTTGCTTTGGTTTTTTTTACATAGACATTTTTGTATTAACTTTGATTTTGAAATATTGCAATCAAATGCCATCTTGATTATTAATTTTTTGGTATGACTTTAGATTTCACACTGAAGTAAATGCCTCACTCGCCTATCTTAAACTTCCCCCCACTGCTTCCAAAAGAAATGCTAGACTTAGTGATTTCCAGATTATACAATTTGTGTGCAGTTTGTGTCCCTGAAAGGGTCGTTGTGCTTAAAGGTTAGCTCTGGCATTGGTAAGAGCCTTTGGGAGTTGTCCCCAGGGACGCTTGTTACCATGAGGGGTAGTTCTTGTGGGATCCCTTGAAAGTTCTTGCTTGATCTTTTGAATTCTGCTGTATTATTATAAAAGCAACCAAACAAAAGCCAAGCATAGTGTACTCACCTGTAATCTCTGCTATTATGGAGACTGAGGCTGCTAAAGCTGTTACCTCATAGTAACCTGCTTCAGGCAATTTATAATAGGTATGGAAAGCTGACTAATGCATCACAAAAATACTTTTGATAATTAATAGGCATCTTTGGCTTTACGAGGTCTGAGTGACACCCAGGAACTATAAAGTTTGAGTATGAGTGAGACTTTCAGAACCTGAGAATTAAGGATCTAACGTTGCTGGAAAATTCATAGGCTGTCAGAAGTCTCCCTGGTTTTTAGAGAAAGTATTGCTGTGGAATAAATGTTTGTGTTTCTTATGATTCATAGGCCAAAGCCTAATGCCTACTATGCTACTATTTGGAGGGAGGGAAGGCCTTTGGAGGTGTCATAGTCAGGGATTGTGCAATTAGAATCAGGACATGGAGTTTGTTGTATTGCTTTATGATGGTCACGCAGAGTTAACACAAGAAACTGCAGGAAATCTATCCGCAACATCAAAGACATAGAA